GCTCCTTTCTGCCAAGACCTCCCATTTCCTGAATTAGGAGACACAACAGTTTATTGTCACGTTGACCTTAAAAATGAAACAGCCGGTTATTTCACCAGCAAGATGGGTTTACTCGGGAATACAGAGGAACTGTGACTCGAGGGACGAGAGGCTGCAGCAAACACCACAGGCAAGGCCAGCAAACAGAGGAGAGGAGCGTCCCTTTACAGAGAGGAAGGAGGGCGTTGGGAGGGGCTGTCTGAAGGAAGTCCACTGGAGGAGAGCGGGAGTTCAGGGTGGTGACGGCTTCTCACTGGCTGAGCTGCGGGGCAAGGAGAATTCCTACTGGGCTGGTAATTGACGGTTGGTTCGTCTTGTTGGGTCTGTAATTGCCCTCCAGTGGCAGTGCGTGAGGGGTCCCTGGTTCTGGCCTCCCGACTCTGTTTGAAGTAAGGTCTCCTTTATTCTGTTTCCCAGTCTGGAGCCGAGAGGCGCCCTGGCGTGTGGGAGCCAGGAGCACAGCCCGCCTGCAGGGCCCAGCAAGCTGGAGGTCGAGTGGGGTGGGGTGCCCGAGCATGGGGTGCAGTCACTCCGCGTGGGCTCCTGCGGCTGTGGTGGCTCTGGGACGCATGAGAAGGAACCTGCAGGAAGGCGCCGGTCCCATCTCATCATGGCAGAAAGGCACATCCCTCTGCCTAGCACCAGGTCACAAATGGAGCGCTAATCCTGACAGCATGTCTCTGCAGAGACAGACAGACAACCAGAGAGTGGGAGGAATGACAAGACGGTGAAGGTGAGGTGACTGTGGCTTTTAACAATTTTATTTTGCATTAACTTTTCAAAATTTGCAAATTTATTTAGTTTTCCAAGTATTCTACTATATGCATAACTGTCTTTATAAACAGTAAAAAGCAATTAAAAAGCTAATAAAAATGAACAGTGGTGTAGTGGAAAGAACTAGGAGAAGACCCGGGTTCAGTCCTGGCTGAGCCTGTTCTTATCTGTGAAATGGACGGCAGTCCCCCTGGCTCTCCTGAGGGTCAGAGAGAATGGGCTATGGTGCCACTGGCCCCCTGGCCCCCCTGGGGCACTCTGGCCTTTCCCCTCAGAGCCAGCATAGGAAATGTGGGTATCCAGCCCCCCGTTATGGTTGAATTGTGTCCCCTCAAAATTCATATGTTGAAGTCCTAGCCCCCAGGACCTCAGAATGTGGCTGTATTTGGAGGTAGGGTCTCTACAGAGGTAATCAAGGTAAAATGAGGTCATTAGGGTGGGCCCTGATCCAATCTGACTGAGAGGACATCAGGACACAGACACACACAGAGGGACGACCATGTGAGGACACAGAGAAGATAGCTGTCTACACACCAAGCCCAGGCTGGGTGTCCATCCGTCCGAGCTGGTGGTGGGAGAAGTTTGCACACCTCTGGGGCAGGTAGGGAGTGATTTCCAAGAAGAGAACAGAGTAGGCTGACGTCCTTTATGGACGTAGGTGCAACAGTCCTTAAGAAATGAGGGAAATGCAGCAGCACAGTGAACAGCAGAACGTGTGCTGCGTATGATCAGGTTTATCCCCGAGGTGCATGTGCACATGTCCGAGGACTTCTGTGGTGAGTGGTGGCTACTTATCCCTGCCCCACTAAGGCCCATTAAAATGACAGTAAAGGCATTAAAAAGGCAAAATTGCTTACAGGCAAAGAGAAGGGAAGAGGGGGAAACATGCTTGGGAGACGGAAAGCAGATGCCGGGCATAACTGTCTAGCTGCCTGAGGAGGCCGAAGCCTGCGGCCGAGGAGCAGCCCCGAGCCTGGCTACAGAGCCCAGGGGGCTCCGGCCTGGAAACAGGATCATGGGGACATCTTCATTGGAAGGGGTCAGACCCTGACCCTCTGGGGATCCGGGCCGCGGCAGCCTGGCGCCCACCCACAGGTGGGGACGGGATTTCTTCCTGACAGACTGGCCAAGAAGAGAGACCTTTGGGCCCTGGTCTTCCTGTTACCTGCAGTGAGGCCCACCATTCCCAGGGGTGCCCCCCCGCTCAGTTCCCAAACAGCTATTCAGTGCCTCACTCTTAAATATGAATAGCAGTCCCAGATGCTTGAGAGAAGCTTCTGGGAGGAAAGACAGACACTGCATAAACAGGAAAGAAAGCATCCATAGAGATGATCATGTAGAAAAACAAGGACTAGACTGAGTCCTGAGGTCCTCAGAGGGCGAGAGGAGGAAAAACTCTTGGATGTTGTTAAATTTTGATAGTAGAAGTGAATAATTCAATGAAAGGGTTGCAAACTAAAGTTCAGGAAATCTCCCTAAAAGGCAGAGAAGAGGAAAGATAAGAAAATTAGAGGTACTTCCAGGAAGCCTACCATGTAAGTCAGAGTAGTTCCAGGAGGAGAGAATGGAGAACAGAGAGGCCAGGACATTATCAAGGAAAAACACAAGGACGTGTCCCAGAAATGAAGGACGTGCACACACGTGGACCCTGTACCATCCATCCTTCTGAGACCCTGGCTGCTGTTAGGGGAAGATCCCCCAGGAGGAGAAGAAAACCTACGTGCAGTTCGGAGTCAGGTGGCTTCAGACCTCTCAGCACCAACACCAGGAGCTAGAAGACAGCAGAGGACCATCATCATCACGTATCTGGGAATGGCTTCTCACCTCCAGCCCATACACAGCCAGACTGCAGCCAAGGGTTAGTGCCCAGTGAAGACACTTCCAGACAACCACAGACTTGTTAAATGTTCCTCCCTTGCAGTTCTTCTCAGGAAGCTCTTGGAGAATGTGCTCCTCTAGAACCAGGAGGGAAACTGAGAAAGGTGAAGACTTGGAAGTCGGGAAGAGCAGGATGCACCAGGAGAGAAACAGGAAGGGCATCCCAGGACGACAGCGGGGCCCAGGGCTGGAGAGCAGCCATCCAGATTGAGGCAGGAGGGCAGAGGCTGGAGAAGGGCTGTCTCTAAGAGTAAGTGATAGGCTTCCAGGCTTGTTTGAACTTACTGAGAGAGGTGTTGTGGTGCTGTCAGCGTCCCATTAATGATGACAACGTAGAAAATCCAGCAGTGAAGAAATACTGTAAATTTCTCTTTAACCCTTCCCCCTCCCATTGCTTAGGTAGGATAATTTCTATTGGTCTGTCTTCAGATTCACTGACTCTTTCACCTGCCATCTGCAATCCGCTGTCAAGCCCAGTCAGTGAATTTTTCATTTCAGTGATTATGCTTTTTATTAGAGAATTACCATTTAGTTCTTTTATATAGTTTCATGTAATTTCCATTTATCCTTTTCTGTTTACTCATTAAGACCATATTTTCCTTTACCTTTTTGAACATTTTCCATTCATTCTTTGAACACACAATAGTTGTGTTTAAGTCTTTGGTAAATACAACATCTGTGCCACCTTGGAGTTGCTTTCTGTTATCTGTGTTTTTTTTTTGTATTTCTTCCCTTTGACTATAGGTCATATTTTCCAGTTTCTTTGTAGATCTTGTGATTTTTATATCATATTTAGAACATGGTGAATGATACATTGTAGAGACTTTGGATTCTGTTATCTTCCTCTGAAGAATGTTGATTTTTGTTCTAGTAGGCAGTTAATTTCTAGCTGATTCCCTTGACCTGGGGGGCGTGGCTTGACACTTTGTTGGTGTGGATCTTTATCTTGGTGGTACTCAACCTACAAAGTGTCCCCCTGTGGATTCTGTTGGGACTTGGCTTAGATTTCGGCAAGTGAGTCTAGAGTGGGTCTCACTCTGGGCGTGGTCCTAAGGTGTGGCCTTTCTGGAGCATCAGCTAGATGCCGAGGCGTGGACTGGGCTGGGCTCCAGTGTGCACAGCCCTGCGTCACTGTTAGTGTCTCTGTTGCACTCTCGGCCCTGGGGCAGCTGCTCTTGGGAGCTTTGGGGGTTCTGCATGGCTCATATGCACTTCTGGGTTGCCCCGTAAGTCCCTCCTGCTGGCGCCCTGTCCCGAAGACGTGCCACCGCCTCCTCTGGCTGGTGGGGTGCTATGTTCGCCAGGCTCTGGGTCAGTGGTCTTGGCTGGGAGATCACCCCCAGATGGGAGCCAGCCATCCTGGGGCCCACCTCGGGCACTGCCCCGCTGTCAGGAAGCACAGTCATGTGTTGCCTGTTGTCCACAAGTCGGCTGCCTAAAATATGTTGTCTGGTTGATGTTGTTTGCAGTGGGAGGGCCAGCCTGGCACTGGTCACTCCAAGTGGCTGGAGCAGAAGTCTGGAGCAAACTGTCCAAGAAAGGAAAATAACCACAGTCCACAGGCAGCTCAGCTGTGGACATTGTTTACGTGGTTATGCTTGGGTCTTCCATCAGCTGTGAGTCAGTGGAAGACGCTCACAGAACTGTTTTAGGAGGTTGCGGGATGTGGGGGGCACTGGGGTACCTCAGTGAATGCTGACCCTGAAGCTGGTCAGTCCCACGTGAGACTGGAGACTCCCGAGGTCACCATATCCATGTGTTATACTGCAGATCCCCAAAGGAATAGCCAAGGGAGTTCCTGAGAGTGGCCGCCTCTGGGTGGGAACTGGGGGAAGCAAGCACAGCAGGTTCTCTCCCAGCCTGTGTTCGGATCTGGGGCTTACGTGGCAGCCGTGTGTACGTTACTGTGGTGCAGACGGAAACTGCATACGAGAAGGCAGTCTTTATAAGGCCTCACGTGAACAGATTAGAGGAGGAAAAATAGGATGATCTCCACCAAAGTAGAACAGTGTCTTATATAAAACATACATTCACAGGAACCCTGTTGGCCACCTGGGTTTGGCCACAGTTTGTTGCCAGCCTGGATTATTTAGAGCTGGGTGTGCCTGTGTAGGTTAGCTCGTGGGTCCTCGTGGCAGGTCCACCTCTGAGGTCAGCGCTAAGCATCCCCAGGTCCAGCAGGGAAAGCCAAAGCCACCTGGGCCCCCCACACCTCCGAGACCACAGAGGTGGGCCCTGCGTGGGCTGCCCATTGGGGTCTGCTCTCCCTTCTGTGTGGAGCCTGCAGCCTAATTGTCCCTCTCCACTAGTTCCTCACTCCTCGAGCTGCATGCTGCCTTCCACGGCCCTGCCCTGAGGATGGACCCGGGAGACCCTGCTGCCGGAGACCCCGCTGCTGGAGACCCCGCTGCTGGAGGCCCAGCTGGTGACCTCACTGGTGACCCTGCTGTTGGTGAGTGCCAGTCCACAGTCCGTGCCCCTCATGTCCCCTAGTTCAGCTGGGCTGCACTTGGCAGGGCCAGGTGTGGGGTGTGAGCATGGGTCTGTGTGTGGGGTGTGAGCACAGGTCTGTGTGTGGGGTGTGAGCACGGGTCTTTGTGTGGGTGGTGCATGTGCAGGGTCCATGTGTGGGGTGCGTGTGCTGGATGTATGTGTGAGGTGTGTGTGTGGGGTGTGAGCACGAGTCTGTGTGTGGGGTGTGAGCACAGGTATGTGTGTGGATGGTGCATGTGCAGTGTCCATGTGTGGGGTGTGTGTGCAGGATGCACGTGTGTGTGCAGACTGCGTGTATGTGTGGGGTTTGTGCTTGGGGCACATGTGCGGGCACTGGGCAGGGATCCCAGCTGGGAGGGCTCCGGGCACTGTGGCTCTGTGTGGGGCTGGGGCACATGTGGCAGCCTCAGGTGTAGATGCGAGTGCACAGGTGGCCGCCAGCACAGCCTTCCTGTCCTGACGGCTGCAGGCAGGTGCTCCCCTTTGCCCCAGGAAGGGTCCTGCCAGCCCTCGGGGTACAGGACTGTGGCCTCATCGTCCCACAGTGGCTGCCTGCCGGCCCCTTGCTTGATGACTGAGACAGAGGCCTGGCTGTGACCGGACAGACACTGAAGTATGGGGGAGCAGGGGTGCTTGTGGACTGGTGGGAACGATGGGCTTTTCTCTGAATCCTGGCACTGTACCCCACACTAAGTCTGCCGTCCCGGAGTTCTGGGCTGGACAGAAAGGCATTTTATCCGTCTTGCCAAGAAGGAGAGAGGAGGAGGGAACTGGGACGCGTCTGAAAAACAAAGGGCCCCAGGCCAGGCGCTGCGAGCGTGGGAGGCAAGGACTCACATGGCACCTCCACCCGCACCCAGGCCCTGAGGAGGGGTGGTGCAGGGCACGGGCCCTGGGTCCTGACCGGGGATGAGGGGCCTGTCTGGGCACAGAAGCCCCTGAGTGGGGGACGCATTTTCACTTTGGTGGCTGTAGATGTGATCAGCAAAATGCTGTTTTCTCATTTCTGCCCTAAGAACTGGTCACAAGAGTCCCAGCACACCTCTTTTGTACTGGGCAGCCACTGTCCCCAAATGTGCCCCACAGTGGCCTCCAAACCATGTCATCACGTTTGGGGCATCTGTTCTGGCCATCATCCAACTGGAGATAGGAGCATGGACCCAGCGGCTGGGGGGGCAGGGTCCCAGGGGCTGGGGGGACAGGGTCCCAGGGGCTGGGGGACCAGGGACCCAGGGCCAGTGCGGGGAGGGCAGGACCCCGGGGCTAGAGGTGGCAGGTGGTGCCCATGGGAGACATGGGCACATGGGGCATCTTCAGGCCCCCAGGAAGGACCCCTGCCTCACCCTGGGTGGTGTGTCAGGCCCTCCTGTGTCTGCCCATGTCACCAGGCCGCATGTGGGGTGGGGCCAGCACTGATGTCACACCTGGACATCGCACCTGAACTGCCTGAGCATGGGCAGAGCAGGGCCTCCTCTCCAGGGTCTTCCAGGCCTCACCCCTCGCCTGCTGGAGCAGACAAAGGGGCAGACCACCCGGAATAGTGCTGCGGGGGCTGGGCAGTGTTTCATGTCCTTTTATTCTCTGTGCTGCCTGGAAGGCCGGGCACTGCAGAAGGCCTCCCGCAGTCACCCCGGATTGGTGCAGACCAAGGGTCTGTCGCAGGGTTGTCTCCTTTTTCCTGAGGCTGTCCCCTCCGTCCCTGCCTCTGCTCAAGCTGCCCAGGTGCTTGTGCCACTGTGACCCCTCCCTCTCCGCTGGGGTTGGCCGTGGGAGTCTGGACCCACCCAGAAGGCGCCACGGCCCCCTGGGGGAGCCGCCACCCTGCCCTTCACAGCTGAGGCCCTCTGCCTTGGTTTCTCCCCAAAACAGCTGCTCCTACCACAAGCCCAAATTCTTCGCAGGCTCGAGGGGCTTAACACTCTGTGTGTCTGCTGTGTTGGGGGTGTTGTCGGCGATGCAGATGCAGTGCCACGTGAGATCCAGTCTCTGCAGGCTGTGGACTACATACCCTGGGGCGGAAGAGGAAACCGAGGCTGGAGGGGCAGGGCTCCTCCCAGGCCGGGACCCCGAGTCCAGTTGGAGAGTGGGGCGCCTGGCCTCCTGGGGGTGCTGCCCCTGCGCCGGGCTGGGGTCCTCTGGTGGGAACACGGGCAGCTGGGAGAACCCCCAGAGAGTGAGCAAAGTCCTGTCCCTTCCTGCAGGTGGTGGGGAACCGGGACCCCGACGGCCCCAGCTGGGCCTCCTCCCAACTTCTGTGCCCACCCACCAGGGTTCTGGGAGGATTGTGGAGTCGGCCCCTCATCTCCTGTGGGGTCATCCACAGGTGCACACAGCCCACTCCACGTGGAGACTCTCCAGGGCAGGGCGCCTAGGCACCTGCCTTTCCCCTCAGTGCACAGGGCAGACTCGCATCCTGCTCAAGATTCCTTAGGCCTTCAGCCAGCACTTTTGCCCCCTGCCCCCACCTGTGGTTCTTCAGGCTCTTGACACCCACCCTGCTGTGACTCCTGGATCAGACACAGCCCCCCATATCAGACACAGCTTTGCCCTGGAATAGACACAGCACCCCCTGGAATAGACACAGCACCCCTGGAACAGACACAGCACCCCTGGAACAGACGTGGCACCCCTGGAATAGCACCCCCCGGAATAGACAACACCCCCCGGAATAGACAACACCCCCTGGAATAGACACAGCACCCCCTGGAATAGACACAGCTCCCCCCCACCCCGGGAACAGACACGGCCCCCCCGGATCAGACACAGCCCACTCAGATCAGACACAGCCGCCTGGAATAAACATGCCCCCCCTTGAAATAGACACAGCACCCCCCCATAGAACAGACACGGCACCCCCTGGATCAGACACAGCTTCCCCTGGAATAAACACTCCCCCCCCCGGAATAGACACAGCACCCCCTGGAATAGACACAGCCCCCTGGAACAGATATGGCACCCTCTGGATCAGACACAGCCCACTCAGATCAGACATAGTCCCCTTAGATCAGACATGGGCCCCTGCAATAAACATGCCCCCCTTGAAATAGCACCCCCTGGAACAGACACAGCACCCCCTGGAACAGACACGGCCTCCTTGGAATAGACACAGCACCCCCTGGAACAGACACGGCACCCCCCTGGAACAGACACGGCCCCCCTGGAACAGACACACCCGCTGGAACAGACACAGCCCCCCTGGAATAGACACGGCACCCCCTGGAACAGACACGGCACCCTCTGGATCAGACACAGCCCACTCAGATCAGACACAGCTTCCCCCTGGAATAGACACAGCCCCCCTGGAACAGACATGGTGCCCCTGGAGTAGACAGCACCGCCTGGAACAGACACGGCCCCCCTAGATCAGACATAGCCCACTCTGATCAGACACAGCCCCCTGGGATAAACACGTACCCCCTTGAAATAGACACAGCACCCCCTGGAATTGACACAGCTCCCCCATGGAACAGACACAGCACCCTCTGGATCAGACACAGCCCACTCAGATCAGACACAGCCTCCCTAGATCAGACGGCCCCCTGGAATAAACATGCCCCCCTTGAAATAGACAGCACCCCCTGGATCAGACACAGACCCCATGGAACAGACTTGGCACCCCCTGGGTCAGACATGCCCCCCCCGGAATAAACATGCCCTCCCTGGAATAGATACAGCTCCCTGCCCCTGAAATAGACACAGCCCCCCTGGAATAGACACAGCCCTCCTGGAATAAACATGCCCCCTGGGAATAGCCACAGCCCCACCTGGAACAGACACGGCCACCCTGGATCAGACATGGCTCCCCCCGGAATAAACATGCCCCCCAGAATAGATATAGCACCCCCTGGAATAGACACAGCCCCACCTGGAACAGACCTGGCCCCCCAAGAATGGACATGGCTCCCCTGGATCAGACACGGCACCCTCTAGAACAGATGCAGCCCTCCCAGAATAGACGTGGCCCCCCGGATCAGATGGCCTCCCCTGGAATAAATATGCTCCCCCTGGAATAGATGTAGCACCCCCTGGCCCGCCTTGTGCAGCCCGGTCACCTGGCCTGTTCGGGGTGTCCAGCTCTGCTGACAAGGCCAGCCTTAGGAAGGCCTCTGAGAGACCTCAGGCCAGGCCAGCCCTCCTTGGTGGGCATCTCTACACCAGGGTCTGGGGTCGCACCCCCAGGATGCTTCTGGACCCTCTACTGGTTTTGCCACTGAGGAGGACCCTCCTCATCTGTGGCCTCTGGAACTCTGACACCCCCGAAACCCCATGGCTTCAGTTTGCCCTGGACTATCTTGAGGGAAGGCAAAGTGCCAGCATCGGAGGGTCGGCCTCCGGGTAATCTAAAGAGTGTCCGCTTGGCCTCCTCTGGCCTTCCTGCTGCTAGGGAAAGGGGTGGGCCACCCAGGAAGGGCGGCCTTTTCCTCCCGTCCTCTCCTCTCCTGGGGCCAAGAAAACATTCTCCAACTAAAACGTCAACTGGGCTCAAAGACTGCTTCTCTCCTGAAAACCTGGCCTTTGCGTGAGCAGACGTGGCTGGATCAGAAAAGCCGTGTCCCTGAAGTCCGGCTGGTTCGGGTTTCAGGGGGCACTGGATTGCCCTTCGTGGGGAAATTGGGAAGTCTGGCAGACAGAGTTAAATCGTTTCTCAGCACGGAGGGAGGGGCAGGTGCAACATTCCAGGAAGCCCATTCCTCCCTCTCCAGCCTCACAGGCTTGTGCTAAACTCCGGAACCTCCAGTGGCTTCCTTGGAGCAAGGCCCTCCCGGGGGCTGGGGGCTGCCCGCCTCATCTGCTGGTCACTGCCTGGCTGGCTCAGGTGTTGGGGAAGGGCTCCCCGTGGCCCCTGGGGCTGTGGAAACACCCTTGGGCTATGACAAGAGGGAAGCCATGAAAACAGGCGACACAGCCCCTTGCTAGGAGAAAGGGCTCACTTTCCTGCCTGTGTGACCATGGGCAAGT